CTTTTGTGTAAAGTTCTGTAGTACACAATAATATCCCTTTTTGTTTAATGTTTAAACGTAATATGATAATCTCAAGATATTCAAAAATTTTTTTTATTCATGTACTTGTATACCATCATACACACATCCAGAAAAGCTACCTTTCAGGCATACTGTTTTCATTCTATCAGAGAAAAATGTCCAGTTGCTTCATTAAAAAAGCAGAGCACAGAAGATGCACACCTGCTTATACGCACTTGTTGAGGGCAAACACGGATTATTCACTATTTCCATTATCAAAGTAGCTTCACATTGCAAATCCTCCATTTACAAATCACAGAACCTCAGCGTTACTTAATCTTGTCATGTTGTCACATTTGACTAGCCATGCGAACTGACCTAGAACTGTAAGCACAAGGAAGGCAAGCTGTCAAAGAGATAATGACAAAGATGCCAGAAAGGGCTGCCAGTGTTTTCACTGGGTGAGAAAGAAGAATTAATCAAACTTCATGAAAGAAGAACGGAGGATGATCAAAATGTTTACTGATGTTCATCAGCTGATCCAGTGGTTGAATATCTTACCATGCAACTACCAAGAGCAGTAAAAGCAGTAACAAATAAAGTTCTGAATAAGCTATACACAACTATTTACAGCAGCAGTAAAAGGAAGTGTAAACTGCCAACATAAAGGACACTTGAATTTATTGAAGACGTTTAATAATGTGCATTAGTACAACATTTCCTAGTCTTTCCAGAGCAAAAACTTCAGTATCTGCTATTTTTCACAGGGAAAAGCAGTATAGGCTTAAAAAAAATACTAGCACAAAGACCTTACAGATGCTCCTTCATCTTCATCTTTGATTTTATCTGATTAGTGGAAGAGCATAATGCAATAATAAAAGCATCTTATAGAAAATGGTTATTTTCCCAGACAAATTGCTTCATGAAATAAAGTCAAACCCATAGGCAGCAGTACTAAAATGAAAGAAGCTCTCACAACTGAACATATGTCTTCACACAGTAATTCAAAAAGGCTGGTGGAAATATCTCTGAAACTACATTTTTCTAAAGCAGTTTGGATTATATGTACTTCTTGGAAATTCCTTTCACAGAGCGTAATCTGATTAGTACCTCGTACCAGACACCTGAATAAGTCGATGAGATGCATGCAAGCATGTATGGCAAAATTTGACCAGAAATGATTACTTATGCAGTACTGTAGAGGGAGGCCACATCAGGCATCTTTACCACCCTAGGTACTTTATCCAATATTAATTTGCTTTTAAATAAGTATCTCCGGAACTTGCTATTGTTTCATGAATTAAATTTGTGGTAGTGTTAGAGCTGATTGGTATACGGGAAAATTGCAATGATTTGTGCAATTGCACTGATCAAAAACGGCAAACATTCAGGTCAAACTATTTTGATACTGCAAGCTATTTGCTTTCTCAGGTTGCCTACTTTGATGATATGTTTTTCCCAGAGTTGAAAATTAAACCTTTTAGAATGTTTAATCTGTTTTGGAGACTGTATCTTTCACCAAACGGTGGTCAATAGCTTAACACTAGGATTGTTAACTTCTAAAGCTCTCTAATGCATTTCTTTCACACCATACAGTCCCATCTCCTGGAGATGATTCTGCTCAAACATGTAAATAAATACAGTCACAACTGGATAGATGCTATATCTACTTTTACCACACTTCATTCCAGATTCAGGTTTATATTGTACACTTGCCTGTCTCTCTTTTATGCCCAAATCATAAACATATATATGGAGGGGGGGAGGGAGGGAATAATATCAGGTGTGCAACCCCACTGGATTTTTCTGCTCCTAGATGGCAGTTAGATAAGAGTTAAAAACTGGAGGAAGAAAACAAGAGTAGTATAAATCTGGAATAACGATCCTGCCCCATTTATAACCCAAAAATCATAAAATGTAATACGAAGGTACATCCTAATGCACTTGGAAAAGATACTAGAAAATAATTTTTGATCTTACAAGACCTAAAAGAAAAAATATATTAAGCTCTGATTTGAAAAATGCATTAAAAATGCTAAAGATACAAAATAAATACTACCCTGTAAGCAATATGTAATAAATAAACTAGAAATTCTGGATCTCGTTCTGACTTATAAGGAGCCTGATATGGCAAGACGTCAATTGCCCCCACCAGCCAGAAGCCTCAGGATGAATTCCCCCCGAATAAAACCATCGTCAGAGATGTGCTAAAGGAAATTCTTCAGAGATCCTTGTTAAAATTCCAGCATCAAACTGAAACGAGGTTTCAGATAATTTCCCTACCTCTGTTCTAGTTCAGCTCTCTTTATATAGTGTAATCATACCTGCCAGAAAAGATCTAGCCCACAAGCACTTAACTTTTTTTCTGAAGAGTAATTATTTTTAGCCTCAGAATGCACTGAATTCAGTGAAGAGCAAAATATTTTAAAATTTCCTGCGGAAGGGTGCCTCTGTCAGATACTGGCATATGCTTTCTTTATATAGTGTGCATGCAAGAATGGATGCACATACCTAAGTATAAAATGCTTATATGCACACACAGTCCATTCATTAACACATACTCATTTCTTCAAGATAATTTAATTCCCAAATCCAAAAAAAAAAAAAAAGGAAAAAAAAGTCATGCAGCTGAGGGTTAAGTATCCTCTGGCAGGAGTGACAGTGCATTAGGAAGAAATGAGTGAATATAACCAGCAAAATCACCTAAACCCTCCCATTTCCATTTGATGGTAAAACTGCAACCAAAAGTTTACTTGTTACATTAGTATTTGAAATCTACAAACACACACGTTCTTTACAAGAAAACGATACAAACACACATATACTCACATTTCAAACATTGAGAATGGCATATGTTATCAATAATTTCATCTTATACCAATCGTACAAACACAGCTGAATGGAGTTTAGGAGCACTACTAGCAGATAAACTTGGATTGTAGGCATTTTGCATGCATCTGGAAAACCACAGGAAGGTTAGCTTCTGTTCTAAGGGTTTAAGTAAGAGTGTGTGTGTGTGTGTGTGTGTGTGTGTGTGTGTACATATCTACATATAGATATACACACATATACAGCATGTATCAAAACACAAAAAATCAGTTCATAAATTAGTTGAAAAATCAACTTACTGATTTGATAGACTAAATGTGACTTTGGCAACTTGTACCACACGGGGATATGGGCCAGAGTATGAATTTTTTATACAGCCAAAAGCCGTTTTAATTCTACAGCTAAAATTTGATTATAAAAGGATTATAAGGCTTTCACTAGCTTGCTCCTTTAAAGGCACCAACAGTCTCCTATTATTATCTTATGGTTAAAAACATACCTAACCAAAAATATTATACTACTGAACCAGTTCAGCAGAGGTAAACTAATCATAAACTGTTTTACTAAGCACACACAGAGATCCAATCTGTTCGGTGTGAAGTGCACTCAATTTACTGACAATAAGAGTGCTATATTTTTGACTGGCGTTCCAAAGTAGTGATATGTGGAACACGTATACAGTCCTGGACACTTAAATTCTGCCTGTCCTGAAGAAAAGAAATGTCTTTATTACAGAAATAGAGTATTGTTTAGAAGGGTTAACTCTGTAAAACAGGAAACTATTTTCAGGACTAGAAGAATATTGCATACCCCATGTCTATCTCTAGAATTCGTAAGTTAAAAACAATTATTAAAATCAGTCTCTTTATACTTACTTAACAAGGCCTAGATTTCTAAAATCAGTAGTCTCCCTACCACAGCTCACTATAATCCAGAGCAGAGCAGGAAGAGGAAGGAAGACAAACTCTCTTTTTAGGTACAGGTGAAATAATGAATGCCAAAATCCAAGTCTAGTGAGATCAAGAAAGTGTCAAATGTTGTCTTCGCAGAATGTATTCTCTTACTGATTTAGGGCTCTGAAAAAGTTACGTTAAATCAGGTTTTGTAACAGAAGAACTTTTCAGATTACCTCCAAAAACATTATGGCTAGCATACAGACTATTGCAATTTTAGCATATTTCAGGTTTAACTATTGTCTTCTTTTTCATAAATACTTGTTCCTTGTTTCTATGTAGTTTACTATGGCATAAAGTGCAAACTCTTCAACTCTCATTTATTCTACCCAATATAAAACTCTCCATAAATAAGTGCTTAACACCAACATTTTGTGTCAGACTATATCGCCTTTAATCCTTCAATATACACCACAGCTCCCATGAACTTAGCTGTTATTTTGCATAACGTTATTGGCAGAATATGGCTCAGCACTGTTACTATTTATTCTGGCTTTCGATTTCTTACGTAGCATCAAATACCATCCTTACCTGAAATAAGGCTAAGATTGTTCAAACTATTATGTTTAAAAGACAGAAAATCCCTTGACATATTCAATATACTTATAAATCACCATTAGTAAATACCATATAAAAACATAGTTCATTCTTCTGTACTCATAGCTTACAACACGATAACATAGTAGCAAAGCAGCTGAGACCTTTTACTTACTAGAGGGTGATCCTCTGAAGACACAGACCCTCTTTCCCACTATCTTATCCATAGGATAGACTTTGTGAGTGCTTTAGGGTCTGCAATACCCTTGTGGGCAATATTTGCCCCCAAAGAGCGGTAAAAAAAATTGTTAAATCTATAGCACTTACAATGTCCTACATACATTTAAGCCTTTACTCTTTTCATTAGTTCATTAGTATTTTGGCTTTTTAAAGTCACAATCTCAATTGTACTGCACAGTAAGTTTTTATTAGAAGGTTTAACATATCCTTACTTTTCTAGGCCATGTAATATTTAAACTGGAAATAAAATACCAAAGTCAGCAAAATAACCTAAAGTCTTTTATATGGCAGACTCTAAAGGCTCAAGCTATAAATTAATGAAACTATTCCAAAGATTTATATTCTGGACTTTCCTAAGCTTTCTCTTACGATTAAATGCAGCATGTGAAAAAGGATATTGAGACCTGGATGGATGCATCAAGAAGTATCAATGATTGTTACCTGCAGAGGTGTTACAAGAAATTTCATCTGCTGCAACGAAGACGAATTGATTTCTGCAAGAGAAGATAAAATTCACAATACTGCTTGCTGACTGGGAAATGTGCTAGCTGCCAATTGACTTGATGTTTACAGATGGGGTAGGGTAAGGGTGCTTAATTTTAATGAATGTAGCAAGAAAAAGTGTTGACGTATTTCAGTACTACAGAGTTTATAAGGATCATGAGGTAGACATGCTGGGATCTTTTAAATGAAATAATGGTGACATTTGGATATGGACTATGTACAAACTCTTGCATTGGAAGCTTCATGTTTAGTGTTACAGATACGTCATGCTAAAATATATTTATAAAGGATAATAAAAAAATCAAACTGTATTTATATTGATATAGAAACTAAAGGGCACTAATGCAAAGTAGGTAAAGAAACCTGCATTTTTGAAAAAAATTGCAATTTACTTAGTACATCTTAAAGGAGGATATTAAAAGTAAAATATTTTTTATATTTCTAATATGACTTCAAACAGAAAATGAATTTTCTGCTATTTATAAAAAATTATGACACAGTATATTCTCATATACGGTCATCCGAATACAAGCAAAAGTTTTTTGCAGAATCTTAGGAGAATAAACTATAGATATCAGTAATTTGATATAAACCTTCTCTTGCAAAATTCTTTTTTCCACAGGTAGATAATAGAAAAAGAGAAATGCTAAATATACTAGTATTCCAAAACGCAGAAAACTCCATTATGGGACAAATCCTGATTTGTCCTTTCTGAAGAAAAAAAAAAAAAAAAGAATTTGGGTTAGTGGAAACCATGTTTGAGAATTAACACTGAATTCTTCCTTTACATGCATATACATAGGCTTCTTGGATGATGTTTGTGTTGTGCAGGATTAATGAAGAACATGGCTGAAGTTTTAACACTTAGGTGCTGTTTTACTCCAAATGGCAGGCAGCTCCACCAGCCTGCACTGCTAAGCCAGGTGAAAAACAGCATTTTTAGGTTGTGCACAGCTTTAATGCAAGAGTCTACAAAATAGGAACTAGGTCTAGTTTGTACTAAGGCCTGCCTGGAAAACTCAGTTCTGCAGGATGATGAAAACCCTGTCAAGTATGAAGTACTCTGAAGCTCCTCTTGACAACTATTTAGTTGAGGAGCAAACATCTCTGGGGGTTACAGAAGCTTGAAGCGTTAAGCCCCAAGAGAACAAAATCTATTTCTATTACTTCACCTGCACTACACTAAAGACATTTTAAATTCTTGTTTAGAAATCTGTGAACCTTGTTATTTAAAAGTTCACATACGGGGGGGAGGGAGAAGGAATCTGTGATCCACAGAACAGACATAGGATTTGATTAAGATTAACAGTAGAATTAGCTTATTATTGCCTCTGTGCTATCTCAGAGATGTGAACACCTGCATTTTATTATGAATGGACATAGTGACCAGACTGTGTATTTTTTAATCTAATTCTCCTACTCTCAATTGGATGTACAAATTGGTAATTTTGTTCTTTATTTTGTCAACTGCAGCAATTTAACTAATGATATTTATCTTGTACATAATGCTAAGAGATGAATTTTAAAAACTGAAGGAGTATAAATTAAACTGAAGGAGTATGAATTTAGCGTTATAAATACAAAGCTACTCTATATTTCATAGGGAGCATAATTTGTCACTACATTTACTCACACTACCTCTAGCATCATCACCTTTTGTGATAACAGGAAGCCTACTTATAGGAAGACCTCAAAACACTAGCTTGCATTTGTCTTTTTTTTGAACATTTCCCACCACGCGTTACTGAAAGCATTCTAAAAACTCACTTTTTTTTTAAACAGTCCTCTCTACTAATTAATGGTAGAAAATTAATGTGAAAAAACTTAACCCAAAGTGATACCTATTGAAAAAATCTACCATAAACATTCCTTGATATATAACTTCAATTTATGTAGGAAGACACTATTTTCCTTACATTTTGCCTTAGCAAAATTTATTTCACAACTCCATAAATAAATTTTAAAAGTAAGGTAGAAAGTACATATTGTTCAGCATAGCAATTCTGATAATTAAAATGATAACATATTAATTCTTTAATGGGCAGTAAGTCTAGATGCTGGAGCTTAATGAGCCAGTTCAATTTATTACGACTAATTAGGTGTTATTGATAATGATTCCAAGCACTTGTTTAGTAGTTTGATGGCTTTAATGTTTTACAGTAACTGATTTTTATTTACCTGAATTCTATACTATTAGTTACATAGCCCCTATATATCTCACCCGCTGTCCAAAGCAAGTAGCATTCCTTAGTGGAGCTCATCCCTTAATTTATGGAAGAAGTCCTACTGAGCTGACACCATAGCGCTTACATAAACTCCTTCTCTTAAAGTACATAAAAAGCAGACTGGAAAAGGCCAGCTACCCTTTGCAAACGCAGGATTGTTTCCTTTAAAGATCCATTTTAATCACTAAGTGCATTGAGTGTGCTGGGTTTAAAAATCTCACAGGTAAGGGATGGTGGAACTTCACGATGCATTTTAGGTTGTTTTCATGTTCATCATCACTTTTACATTGCATTAAACAAACTTCTTATTGGTTTAAAAAGGTACCAGAAACGTACGTGAACCCCAACTTTATTATACAAGAAGTCCTGTTCAACTGAGACAAATAATTGTTTCAATCAATTAAATTTGCATATTATTAAATAAAACACAAGATTAAATCTTTACTGGTCATTGTTTTAAATTTCAGATGAAAAAGAAGATGTATTCAAAATCCAGTGAATTTTATTTAAATAAAATTTTAGAAGCTGTTACTGTTTGTGTGGGAGATAGATAAACAGAAAGGCTAACTGATCAAGTAACATGATAAATATACTGATCTGAATGCACAGTCGGATATATTCAACTTGCCCGATATTCAGAGCTTGGGATACACGCAATCCGTGTACGTGCTGGAGTGGGAGCCTCCGGCAGCCTGAGCTCTCTGGGGCAAACCCAGACGCGTGGGTCAGGGAAGTGGACTTGGGGGGCTCCGAACGGCTGGCTTCCACCTCAGCAGCTATTTCCCAAGGGCAAACACTGCTGCATAGTCTTACCTCTCCCAACCCCATAGATCAGTTTCCTATTTCTACTAGTAAACTGAAAGCTGCCACCAAGTTTTACTGGCATGGTAATAACGATATTTTTACAATTTAAACAAAATAGGAATATTCAAACAGATTATTTCCTAAATTAGGATAGAAGCAGAGGGAGAGGACAGCAAAAGTAATATTAAGTGATTTTGATGCTCTTTTATACTTTGGGGTAGTTATTGGGCCTGCATCACCCCAATTTTCAAAAAGGCTCAACAGTGTTGTGAGTTTTTATGCCCTGCTTCCCCTAATACCCTGCCGGACTCCTCAAAAATGCTGCACGAAAGCCCCAGAGCCTCACTGACATAAACCTCCACATCAGTTTTAGCAATTGCTATTTCTAGCCAGAAAGTCTTCTCCATATCCAAAACGTTAGATGCTTTCTCTCTCTCCTTGATGCTGTTAATTTAGTGAATATATCCCATACTATAGCATAAAATGTAATTAAATAATTTTTTTTTTAATCACTAGAGTCCAATCCTTGTCTACACTATGGCTCTTTAAGATACATAACCACGTCTGTGAAGAAACCCCGCATGTGAATACCTTCACTCTTCCCGTCTTGCCACACGCATCCTAGACTGATTCCATGTGCAGCAGAATGAGGACCAGCACTAAGAAAGGAGCCTTTGGCCAGGGAATCCTGCCAACATTTACCTCTTAGCATCTTTTTCACAGATTAGCTTGGAGAAAAGCCAAGATTCTATATATATTTTTCTGTCCTGCATTTTATCATAGAAGACCTTGTATCACAAGATCCTTGATTAGCTACATTAGGGCTTACGCCCCCAAGAGTGATTGTCAGTCATTATTTTTCTAATAATTTATATTTAGATGGGGCAGGGAGCTAGCACTGTAAATCCAAATAGCCTTTGAAATTTTTGTGATGGCAGGAGATGGGGAGGAAAAGTCCAGTCGCTAGACCCAAAAGCATACTCTGCAGCACCGAACTTCAGAGAGGACAACAAAATGTTTGCAGGTTCACTGTATCAGCTCTCTAAAAGTAGCCTGTTCTAAATTTAACCAGGTCACTGATATACGAGACTTAGATAATAACATATTAAACCAAAACAGTTTAAGCAAGTCAAGAACAGGAATTTAAATGAAGATTGACTAAGGTTTTTCATGATGTACATTACTTAGTGAAGAATATTACCAATGACAAATGATTTAATCAGATGTTACGTTCTCGTGGAAATTAGGCCTTCTACAATGTCCAAAAATTGTTTTCTTATCATAGCCTAATTTCTTCAGCATGGTTATAGCACTACAAGTTAATTACGAGGTCTAGGACATTTCATAAATATATTTCGCCAGTACTCGCCCTTGCCAAAATGGTGCATCCATCCATTTGCAAGTATAGCTGTCTCCTATGATCTTGCTTCTGACAAGTCACCTGTAGCTGTGCTGAAGTTATACAGAAAAAACTTTTATTCGCTCATTTTAAAGCACACTGACCTAATACAGAAGCTACGTATGATTACTGAACTGAAATTTAGGTAAGGCTATATGTGTGATATTTAGTAGAACCATGTCAGCAGTTTGTAATTACTATGTAATATTTTTAGCTTTTATTTCTACAGAAATCTTTTTGTAAGCATGTGTCAGTAGTTTTGACTGTCTTTCGGAATTATTTTTAATCTACATGCTTTGAGAGTTAGTTGCAAGTTTGTGATACCTGATATTCTAATTAGGCAGGATGTACTTTACATGCACTTTACGTGCTCCTTCAGAAAAAATTAAATTAAGAGTATTAAATCTGAATTTCTGGTTAAAGAACGTTTATGAATTTTCTTCAAACTTCTCCAAAATTCCCTTAATATTTCCCAGCCTCATAAACACTCCACCAATGAGCTCAACTACCAGAACGACGAATGGATCCAAGAATAAGCACAGGGGTTCTGGTTTAACGCTGT